TTATGGGTACTAATTTGATGCTGCATATTTGTTTGTAGCACTGGATTGCTGCCACCATGGACCAGTGGGCAGAGGAGGATGAAGAAGAGGAAGAGGAGGCTTGGCAGAAGAAAGCGGAGGAAGAATTTGGATGAAGAACTCATTGGTACGTACCACCTTGAGAACATGGCAAATAGAAAAGAGTACCAACAAGCTAAAGAGAGTGGATATGATTGGGTCATCCGGACACTAGGGCATAGTACTGAATGTTACAACATGTTTAGAATGGAAAGGGCAGTGTTTGATAGCCTGCACAATTTACTAGTGCAATCATATGGATTGTGGTCGACTAGGAGGATGTCATCAGTGGAATCTTTAGCAATGTTTTTATGGATGGTTAGTGCCCCTCAATCTATTCGGCAGGCTGAAAATCGTTTTGTTAGATCAATGGAGACACTTCATAGGAAGTTTGATAAACTGTTGGAATGTTTGGTTAAGTTGGCAGGAGACATAATTCGGCCACTAGATCCAGAGTTTAGGACACCTCATCCAAGAGTACGAAATCCAATGTTTGCTCCGTTCTTTGACAATTGCATTGGAGCCATTGATGGAACACATATAGAGGTGGTCGTGCGTGCAAAGACAGAGCTCATCACACACATGACCCGAAAATCAAAGACCGGTCGAGAATGTGCTAGCAATTTGTGATTTTGACTTGAGATTCACCTTTATCATTCTTTGGGTGGCTTTGAGGTGGTTCATGACATGAGGGTATTCAAGGCAGCACTTGACAAATTTGGAAGCCTCTTCACACATCCTCCCCAAGGTAAATTTGGATTTTGATAAATATTTCTTTGATCAATTCGATGATTGCCACTTTTCTAACAGTTAACATTAACATTGTAGGGAAGTTTTATGTGGTGGACTCGGGTTTCTCTAACCAGCCTGGTTATCTTGCACCGTACAAAGGTACAAAGTACCATTTCTAGGAGTACAACCAAGGTCCACCACCAAGAGGTAAAAAACAAACCTTTAATCATAGACATTCCCAAATTCGCAATGCAATAGAGCGTTCCTTTGGTGTACTAAAGAACTGAAAGGTCGAGATGGCAACTAGAGGGGGGGTGAATAGTCCTTTTTAAAACTCAATCACGTCGGCTAACCGAAACAAGTGCGGAATTAAAACTATCGGTCTAGCCAAGACTACACCCCTCTATCTATGTTCTTTAGCACCTTTCAAATATACTAATTAAGCAATTAAGGTGCCGGGCTAGCTAGAGCTCACCTAAGCAATTCTAGGAGCAAGGTCACACAAACCTATGCCACTAGTACTTTAAGCGACAAGAGAGCTCCTACACTTGCTAGTAAGCAAAAGCACAAAGCCACCTAAGCTCACTAGCAATGCTCAATAACAAGGCAACCAATGCCTAATTAGAGAGCGCAAGTACTTAGCTACACAAACTAAGCAATGTGACTAACAAGGTTACTAAAACCAAATTAGCCATGAAAGGGAGCTACTTCTATGCTACACAAGCAAGAAGGTAATTAGCAAGCTACACAAGCTATCTAATTACAAGAGCAACTACACAAGCTTAATATGTATAAAAGTAATTGCAAGCTTGTGTAATGGGGATGCAAACCAACGGGAGGAACAAGGTTGACACGATGACTTTTCTCCCGAGGTTCACGTGTTTGCCAACACGCTAGTCCCCGTTGTGTGCTCACTTGGTGGATTGACTAATTAGCATCACTCGCTATGCCCACAGGGCGCCGCAAGAACCTACCCCTTGAGTGAGGGTAGCTCAATGACACGCTTTACTAGAGTTGCTCTTCAGCGGCTCCATGGGCAGAGCACAATGCCCCTCACAAGCACTTCTCCGGAGCGCCGCACAAGCTTCTTGCGGGCTTCGACGGACACAAGCCGCCTAGGAGGTGGCAACCTCCAAGAGTAACAAGCACCACCAGCTCGCAACTCGATCACCTAGTGCCACTCAATGCAACCTCACGATGCAATCGCACTAGAATCGCTCACTCACACAATCGGATGATCGCTATCAAGTATGTGTGTGATGGAGGCTCCCAAGCACTCACAAGCATGGACACTAAGTCCCTTGAGGTGCTCAAGACACTACCATGGCCGAGGGCCACTTCTATTTATAGCCCTAAGGGCTAAACTAGCCGTTACCCCTTCATCGGGCAGCGGTCGGGGGCCGACCGGACGCCCGGTTGACATGGACCTCGGCGTCTGGTATGCAGACAGCCACGTGTCCGGTTCCAACGGTCACTTGACTTGACCCGGACGCAGCGAGCTTTCACTTGACTTTTGAACCCCGGCGTCCGGTCGCTTCAATAAAGTATCGACCTCGACCGGATGCGTCCGGTCACACAGCGGCCGGTCCGGTCACCTCGGCTCTGCCATCAGACGCCACTGACCGGTGCCAATTGTCGGGTGCATTCGAGATCCAGTATCCGGATTTTGCATCTTCGCGACTAACTCGTTTTCACTTCTAACTTCATCACCCTTGCTCCAATGTGCTAACCACAAGAACTTGCATCCGGCGCAATAGAAAATAGGCATTCTATTTTCCCGAAAGCGTCGAATCCCGCCGAGCTTTGTAAATGTGCCAACACCACCAAGTGTACACCACCATGTGTATGTGTGTTAGCATTTTCACAATCATTTCCCAAAGGATGTTAGCCACTCAACTTGTCACGCCACTCGATCCTAGCGACGATGCAAAGTTAGATCACTCGAGTGGCACTAGATGACCGATATGCAAACAAGTTTGCTCCTCTTGATAGTACGGCCATCTATCCTAAATCCGGTCATCAACTTCTCTACACACCTATGACCGGTGAAATGAAATGCCCTAGGTTATACCTTTGCCTTGCGCATTCCATTCCATCTCCTTCAATGTCGATGCAACACATGCACCAACACGATCAACAATGATATGATCCACTTCATATCATCACATGATCATATTGGTTCATCGATCTTGACTCTACTTGCTCTTCACCGTTGCTATCGTCCATCGGCGCCAAGTCTTGCTCAAGCTTCACCGCCACGCGGTCCATCACTCCAAAGCCTTTGACTTGCCCTTCACGCTTGCAACCGGTCCATCAAGCCAAGTCTTGTCTTGATCTTCTCCACCTTGATCACATGACTCAATGTCATGTCTCATGTGTAATAAGCTCCTTCATCATCACATGTGTGAGCTTTGCAACATCTCCAAGCCATTTTCACCTTCATGGCATATGTTGCTCACACACATGTACCTATGGACTAATTTACCTGTGTATCTCACATAAACACAATTAGTCCACCTAGGTTGTCACTCAATTACCAAAACCAAACAAGGACCTTCAAGAACAAGTGGAGGATTTTGTTACACATGCCCTCTTATCCACCACCAAAACAAAGTCAAATTATTTCAGCATGCATGGCTATACATAATTACATTAGAGAGTATATTGGAGGATAGAGATTTCCAAGAGTGTGATGATGATGAGGAGTTCATTCCTATGGGGGATGAGCCTAGTCGGCTACGACGCCGACACCAACGTCGAAGACGTGCAACTCAAGCACAGGGGCAAAACACAAGTGATGATCATAACATGAACGTTTTTCGTGATTGGATAGCGGAAGGATTGCATAGAAGGAGGTAATTTGTATTTGTTTCAATGCCGAACCATGCAATTTGTATTTCTATGTGACGACTTGTATCGATACTTGTATGGATATTTGTATGCATATTTGTAATGGATTTGTAATCAATAAAATGAGATGGCCGCTGGACAGTGAGGGTGCGCGGGAAGGGAAGGAGGGGAGGTGGGGTTAACAGGGTCATTAATGAGCTTATAAGTCATCTACAACCAAACAAGCATGACTTATAAATCACTGGTTTTTAGTCACCTGACTTAATAAGTCACCTGATTTATGGAAACCAGGTCCTTAGGCCCCGTTTAGATCCAAATTTTTTTGGATTTTGGCTATTGTAGCATTTTCGTTTGTATTTATCAATTAGTGTCTAATTATGGACTAATTAGGTTCAAAAGTTTCATCTCGCGATTTCTCACCCAACTACGCAATTAGTTTTTTTTATCTATATTTAGTACTTCATGCATGTGCCGTAAGATTCGATGTGACGGGTAGTGCGCAAAATTTTTTAAATCTAAACGGGCCTTAAAGGATCGAGAGGCGTCTTAATAGCGCCGACAGCAGATGCAGATGGATTAAGCATGGATCATATCGAGGCAGTGATCAGCATGGATCAGAGCCAAGAGCAAACAGTGATCCTGGAAGCCAAGCACATGCACCCCTGCTGGCTGCTGGCTGCTGCATCTCAATCACAACCCTCGCTCTGCCGCGTCATGCCATCATGCACGCACACCATTCCAAAACCCCGGCACACAACTCAACGAAAAGATGTTTTCCATAACGACACACCTCAATCCTTCTTCTTCTTCACCCCCCAATATCAATCAAACAATGAAATTTAAAAGGATTCAAAGTCAGAGCCGATTCTAATATTACTAGCAGCTAAGAAAACAAATAATAAATAACATAAATGAGTGATCCTACTAGTAGGATATTTAATTTTCTCCATCACCAGAAAACAAAAGAAAAATTTGAAGGAAATCCAAGAGTCCAGTCCAGTTGAGATCAGCTACTACTATCATGCATGCATGCTTGCTCGCTCCCTACAAAGAAACAAACACAGAGAAAAAAAGAAAAAGAAAAAAGACGATAATAACCTTGACTTGTTCGTTTTGTTGTTTCAAGAAGTTCATCACCACTTCTCTCCCTGCTTGGACGACGACGGTATGCAATGGATTAATGGAACAGTGAAATGGCCAACGATGCGGTCGGTCGGTCGGCTGGTCTGCTAGCTAGCTAGGTTACCCACTTACCAGGACGGATCAACGGCCACCACCATGGTGGCCACCCCTCTTCTTCTTCTTCTTCCTCTTCTTTGTCAGGTTGTAAGGCGGCACGGTCCGACCCGACGGTCGGTCGGTCACTCGAGCTTGAGCGGCAGCGGGGACCCGGGACCGCCGCGGTGGCAGGACGGCCCGGCCTGCGCCGGCGCCGGCGGCATGACTCCAGCCGGCATCTGCAGAGGCATGTGCTGCTGCGGTGGCGGCGGCGGCGACGCCATGCCCGCCATCGCCTGCTGCTCCTGCGCCGCCGGCGAGGCTTCCAGGCGCTTGTTGGCGAGGTTGTGCTTGTTGTTGTGCATCCACACCTTGAGCACGCGCCGCTTCACGCCGATTTCCTGGCAGAAGGCCTGCACCATGCCATCGTCCAGCCGCTGGAGACGCCACCCCACGCGCTCCGCGAACTCCAGCATGCGCGCCTTCTGCTCCGGGGTGAACTTGGTGCGGAACCGCTTCCTGGACGACGAAGACCCGCCGCCGCTGCCGCCGCGCGCCGCGTCGCCGCCTCCGCCCGCGACAGCGCCGCCGCCGCCCTCCATCTCGTCGGACTCCGAGGTGTGCATCATGTTCAGAGGCATCACGTACTGGTGGTGGTAGGCGTGCCCGTGCCCCGGCGGCGGCGGAAGCGCCGGGGGGAGAGCGCGCGCCGCCGCGTAGGCGCCGTAGGGGTCGGCACCGGAGATCAGGAGCCCGCCGTCGCTCTTGTGGTGCGGGTGCGCCATGGCGGGGGCCAGGAGGCGGCGAGCGGCGCGGTGCCCGTGCCCGTGCCCGAGGCCGAGGCCGCTGAAGCCGTCGGCGGCGCCGTAAATGTCGTCGTCGTCGTCGCCGTCCACCTCCTTGCGGTGGAAATTGCGGTGGCAGCCGCAGGCGGAGCACTTGAGCGCCTCCAGCGAGCCCTCCTCGCCGCTGGGCATGAACTCGCCGCACCCGTCGGTGGCGTTCCCGCCGATGGCCGCCGCGTGGTTCTTGAGGCACTCCCGGTACTTCACCGCGGAGCTGCCCCCGCCAATGCCGCCGGCCGCCGGCCCGCGCTTCTTCCCGGAGCTCTCCGTCTCCTCCGCCGCGGCAGGCGGCGACGGCGTCAGCGCCGCCGCCGCCGGAGACTGCTGGCCATTGTTGTTGCTGCCGTGGTCACGGCCGTGCAGCTGCTGCAGGACATGGCCGCCGACGCCGCCTCCGTAGGGCGACGCGACGTTGGCGTGCATTGGGATCGCGAGCTCGCCCTGCGTGCCAGAAAGATCCATGCCTCCTCCTGGTCCTGATCCGTCGTCCTCTTCTCGGCGGCGCCGCTCCAGAGAGAAGATGCTTCTTGCTGACGCTGACGCTGCTGGTGCTTCTGGCCTTCTCTGCAGCGGCACAATGGAAACCATGATGAGAGCGCAAGCAAGAAAAGGCCAATGGCGCCCAGAGCTCCTTCCCCTCACTCTCTAGTCTCAAGGGTAGTAGATGCAACAAAATTCTCAGTGCTTCTTGGGACTCTCAACACAGACAGAAGGCACTAAAGGAGAGAGAGAGTGAGTGAACAAAAAGGGTGCTGAGGTGAGGTGCTTGGTGGGGATCTTGGGACCTTATCAACAAGATACTACTAGTTGCAATTTGCAAACCCCAGGATGGATGGAGGTGGTAAGCAAGCTGCTAAATTATGAGGCCATAGAATAATGCATATTGTTATCTGTGCTTGCTGCCATGTCCTAAGCTACATATCTATCTTGCCAGCTTCTTCTTCTGCTACTACTTTCTTGGGCCCTTCCCCATGCAATGCAATGCACACAATAATACATACTGGCTACTGATATACACAAGTTGGAAGCAAGGGAGGAAGGAAGGAGAAGCTACTCACTCAGTGGCTATAGTGGAAGAAAGATGGAAAGAGGAACAGTGAGGCTGTTCTTACCAAAAGGCAGCACTGGGTTACTTTGATCTCCTGGTTACTTGGCTCCAAGTATTTACTGGCTACTGATATACTGCTTCTACCCTTACTGGTTACTAGATGTATGTGAGCATGGGCTATGGACCAGCCTTTGACCTCTCTCTATCTCTCTTAAATCCTAGGCTTACGACACACCACCTCTCTCTCCTCGCCTTGAACGAGACACAGCACAGCAAAGACTAGAAGGAGAAGCTATGGAGGAGGAGGAGCTCTCATGCTGCTGCAGATGTTTTGTGTTTAAAGCCTAGCGCAGTGTTTGCTTGTGTGTGTGTGATGGGTCTTGGACGCCACAAGACTACAAGGGGGTTTTCCACTAGCAGGCTGCTCTGTGCTCTCTCTGTCTGAACAGTAGTGGAGGAGGAGGAGGGAGGGAGGGAGGGAGGGAGAGAGAGAGAGAGAGAGAGAGAGAGAGAGAGAGAGAGACAGAGAGACAAAAAGCCAACCAACCTTAGTTGCGTCAAGGGCTAATCGAGAGGACCAAGGAGCAGGGGGCAAGGCCTTCAGCCTTTGCAGCTTCCACCATTGCAGTGAGGTGACTAGCGGCCTCGCTCGCTAGGGCACGCTAGCTAGCTGCTGTCATGTGGGCGATAAAAGAAAGAAAGCCGGAGACAGGAAAGAGGAGGAGACGCACTTATGGAAGATGGTTCTGTACTTCGTCTGTTTCTAGTAGGAATTATATGAAGAGAAATATTAGTGTTTGGTGCTTGCTTTGCTTTGCTTGCACTGAGAGATGATAACCAGCCAGGCACTGATATTTTTTTTCCATATTATATACTCCAGGACCCAGTAGAATGACAGTAGTGGTTTTACCCTCCTCTCTCTCTCTCTCTAAGGGAAAAATGCAGTTAAGCACTCAGTTAATGCCTCATGGGCATTTCACACGACCCCTGTGCTCTGGGTATTTATTTCTCATGCGTAACAGAGGGATAATATCAATTCCATTGCCGGAGCCTATTCATAGTGGGCAGTCTTTGCATCCTCATCACAAGCCATGACTACGTGAATTGTATACATATATATTCTTTTGTATTTTAATCTATACAATAGCATTGCAGTGGTCTAGACAAAATATTGCACAGCAATATGTCATATACAAAAATCAAGACCTTTCACAAAAAAACATGCTAAGGCACGGTTCATTAAAAAGAAGCCCTTTCACAAAAAAAAAGAAGGAAAATAAAAGGTAATGCTTCTAAATTTAAACCAAAAAGCATTCATTCATGCCAAGATTACCTGCAGATTTGTTGCATTCACAAATTACCTAGATACTTTGTTATTTAAGATTATGTTAAGTAAAAAAAATAGTTTGAGTCACAAATCCATGGCAGTGCCTCCCGATTGCCCATACCTTTCCATTGCTTCTGACGTTAACAGGACCAAAACATGACAAACTAGCACAAAGAACGACGCACACACATAGAGATAAGCTAACTTTTTCTCGTAAAAAGTTTGCATATCTTTATAGAGATAAGCTAATCTTTTGTGGTCTGAAGAATATATACGAAGCAATTAGTTTCAGGATATATCCATATCTCCATACCCTACCAGATGTTAGTGCAATCACCAAACAATTAGTACAGCTTGCAAGGTACCAGATGATGTTAGTATAGTTGAAAAAAGTGTTTAAGGCAGCGATATATTATAGTGATATAAGTAACAGTATTAGCAGCATGCAGCTATCTGACTGTTTTTTTAGATAATGTCGGCTATGTGACTGTACCAGAGCATATATAGTGGGTTTGTCTGTATCACACAGAAGCGTATCATTGTGCCCTAAGAGTTGACCATGCCCCCATGTCCTGATGGTACCCCACAGTGACCACACCACTTCCTTCAAAAAAAAAACACAATGACCACACCAGTACTAAACAACCAATCAAATCCCCTTGTGCCTCCTTGAAATGTGCAACCCAGCAGGAGGATTGCAATTTGCAGACCCCAAGGCTAGTCAAAACGGCATGTAGCACAAAAGTAGTGGCGCTAGCAATCAACAAAATTCAGATTAGGGGACATGGTTAGATTGACACTTTCTGTTTTGGTCAGAGCCACTGGGGTTAGACTAGTTATATATATATGATTATACCCCAATCAAGACAAATCCTACACCCCTTTTTCTTAAAAAAATTAGTTCAGTTCAGACAACAGACATGGAGCATGCTCATAGATGAGTACAAGATGTCATCTCAAAGATTCTCATAATTGGGCAGCGGCATGATTTGAGTTAGCACCTACTCCATCACCTTGGGGTGTGCAAAGGTATATGCATTGCTGCCGTCCTTAGGCCCACTACTTAACCCCAAAGCTTTGGATCCTGCAACTTTTACCTCTCTGCCTGCCTGTTGCCTGAATGCAATGTTGCTGGGGTTGTGCATGGCTATGTTGTCTATGCCTACTAGTAGTCACTAGTGGATGGTGAGTGAGTGAGTGCTCTTGTCCTTCACTGCACAAACATTCTCCTGCCTCCCTACAAAGAAAAGCTAAAATTGCCAAGTCTTTCTTTAACAGCAACCAAGTTGCACTTAGGTCACATGATGGAATCAGCTGCGGTTATATATTATTATCACCTTGCATGGGAATTAGATTCCCTCTTTTCCATGTGGGAGGGAGAAAGGTCCTAATCACTTCTTTTGGTGGTGAATATTATAAAGTGCTGCCTAAGCATGCAAAGTGCACACAGAATGATCTTTAGGGTACATACAAGACACACTACTTTTTCTTTCTATCAAATGTCCCCATAGATCACAAGGAGTGTCCATTCTTTCCTCCATGAGATCTTTAGAACAATATAAGGCTGGATGATCCAGGAATATCTCTCTCCCAAGGGGAAAAGATTAAAGGTGCATCCTTAGCTTTCTCTGAATTTTTATTTTTTTAAAAAATAAATAAATTTGCTTTCCTTTCCCCTCCCTTGTTCATGCCTGGTTGGTTCATTCCTAGCCTCGATAGGCTCAGCTCTCGTAATGCAATTATGGGTATTTTTGCTTGGCCTTTTGTTTTTCTCCCACTGGCCTTGCGTATCCCTATCACTTTATTCTTCGATATCTAGTTGCTTTATTCTCACTTAAACCCCATTCTAGCTACTTTTGCAGACCTTCTGTGTATCTTTGTTTTGCTTGATAATTTCCTTTTTGTTGACACTATGTCTGTTTCATGTCATTTTACCGAATATTACTAAAAAATGCCGGCAAAATTCTATTGTGCATGTATATGCCAAGAATATGTAAAACACTTTTTTAGATAATGGAAGAATATCTGGCATCATCCCCACAAGTGAGAGATCAGACCAATGCAAAATTATTACAGGACACAAAAGCTTAAAACAAAAAAACAGTCTCATATACATACATTTTATGTATGTGTGATGTATGCACCGCATATCAACGCAACAAATTAATTTATATATGGATTCTTTTTGTATATCTAAATAATGTTTAGGTTGCTGAATTAAGGATTGAAGAGTTGTCATGTCAGTGACAAACATATATTCAGCCTATTCGCTTGTTGGTTTCAGCCAGAGCTTATCAGCTATGGTACAGTATTTTCCTCTCACAACAAATCAGCACCAGCCAGACTTATCAGCCTAGAAATTAACCAGCGATCATGCTTATTGTACACTTTAGGATTTCTGAATCTGCTTGGGTTCATGCCAAGTTGAAGTTGGGCCTCGTATGGGCTCAGGATCGTGTTGGACAAGGACTGGATAGGGGCTAGAGCTAGGTCATATTGGACTGAGCTAGCGTAGTGCTTACGCTACATATTCAGCTGAGGAAATGAATACACTCATTTAATAAACAACACTGCCCACGTATATCAACTCAACTGTATATATCTCTTCTCTATTTGACCGATTCCACATATGCATGCAAACTCCTTAATTATAGCTGCATGCACAAATAACTAAGCAATTACCCAAGTGACAACCGATCTTTATATAGAAGATATCTAATAAATAAGGGTAATATGGTAATTTGAGTTCCACACTAATCTGTTTGAGATTTTCTAGAATGACAAGTATTTTAGGATGGAGGCAGTAGGAAATTTCTCCTTGATAACACTCCATTCTTAGAGATGAAAATTTGCCCGATTATTATGGTTTTGTTAAGATAATACAAATTCCTCCAAGGTTACAGAATTTCAAACGGACCCCAATTCAATCAACACTTTGTTAGGATGTAGAGTTTTCTGTGGGTTCATGCAAGGAGACTCTTAATTAAGCCTTTAACATTGATTTTTTTATTAATTCACAATCATTATATCGAGTTGATTTAATAATCGTTAACCCACTTTCGGCCTCTGTATAAAAGCACATAGCCTAAACATAGATAAAGGAGAGCCAATTACTCTAATGAGGCAGTAAGTGCATTGGCACCCATGAACTTGAGTTGACGATGACTGCCCTATGTGTCTGCTTCACGGATTGAGTTCATCTAGCATGGGTTG